AGAAAGAAAGAAAGAAAGAAAGAAAGAAAGAAAAGGAAAGGAAACTATTGTATTCCCAGTCTTACACACTTACCCTGTGCTTTGAGAACTGTTCTTCCTGATTCTCAGATTCAAGACCTTCCTTTTTTCTAGTTATCAGAATAGGTGATCCTCTCACTTATGACCTGGAGCACCCAACATCATTTATTAAACCAAACTCCACTAATTTCTTATTTCCACAGGCAGTCTTTTCACAGATGGCTCACTTTTTAATATTGACCTGTGTTTAACAAACTGTTTTTGCAGCCATGGTATCTCATTTGCTATTCATAAAACATTAGGATTCAGCTCATGAGCAAGTGACAGAGGATAAATCAAGCCCCCATCTTTTGTCTTAACTCAGGACACTGTCCAGCACCAACCACAACTCTCCATGCCAGACATGCCCCAGACATGCATGGCCAATTTTTTCCACCTGATTTTGGTCATTTAATCATAGATGTTCAAAATTTCAAATCCACCATCTCTGTAACACAGAAATATTGGTCACCTCTTCAGCCACTACAAGGATAGATTCTGAACATGGGAGAAGGAAGCTTATCAGTTAAGAGGGAAAGAAAGGGAGGTCACTTAGGAAATGACACAACAAGGAAAACAGTGCCTGTGTGTGATTGTGACAGACAGTATATATACGAGACATGAGGAGGTGTAGCCTGAGGGTTAAGAGCATGAGCTTCAGAGTGATTCAGCTTGGAGTTCAAATCCTGATTGCTACTCACTTACTTAGTGACCTTGAGCAAACCACTTCACTCTAAGCCTCAGGCTTCTGATAACAACACATATGTTGTGATCCCTCATCGTGGGAATTTGTGAGGTGCTTAGCACAAGCTTGACACGTAGTACATTTTCAATAATATTGGTTATTGTTTTTAACTTTAACTACTGGTTCACTCAGATCACTCAATGCCTAAACAAATCATCCTTCCATAAGATCTTACAAAATCATGAGGTTAGTCTGACAACTTGGCAGTGAGGGATATGATACTTCAAGCATGTGAGTTAATTGATTTTGAGGACAACCAGTCATAGCAGATAAGGGAAAGCAACAATGGGATTGATGATGATCAAGAGTTTCTCCTGGGGCGCCTGGGTGGCTCAGTCAGTTAAGTGTCCAACTTCAGCTCAGGTCATGATCTCACCGTCTGTGAGCTTGAGCCCCTCGTCGGGCTCTGTGCTGACAGCTTGCATCCTGGAGCCTGCTTTGGATTTGGTGTATCCCTCTCTCTGCCCCTCCCCCACTCATGCCTCTGTCTCTCTCTTTCTCTCAAAAGTAAATAAACATTTAAAAAAAATTTTTTAAAAGGTTTCTCCTGAGTGTTCACAATATGCTTGTCTCTCTTCTGTCTTCTCATTTCTCACTAAATTCTCATGAGTATGTGAATATTTGTGTCCAATATCATACATAGTGAATCTGAGGTATAAAGATGTTTAGCAATTTACGATTGCATTGTAAGCATTTTTTTTTAAAGATTTACTGTCTTAGCAAGTTTGGAATATGCAATGCAATGTTATAACTATAATCACCATGATGTACATGACATTAGAATTGTTAATATCTGTACAGCATTTAACTGTTAAATGAATTAATATATTGATATTTCAACATTAAATAAATGAATATATTAATATAGAATAAGAATTTTTAATGCATGAAAATCTAATGTAAATGGGTCATTGAAAAGGTGTGAAAGAATATGCTGCTTCTAAAGAAATTATTTCGGGGCGCCTGGGTGGCGCAGTCGGTTAAGCGTCCGACTTCGGTGCGATCTGCAGCGGTCGATGATTCGAGGCAGCGTCAGGCTCTATGAGCTGATGGCTGGGAACTGGAACTATTTCGATTCTGTGTCTCCCTCTCTCTCTGCCCCTCCCCCGTTCATGCTCTGTCTCTCTCTGTCCCAAAAATAAATAAAAACGTTGAAAGAAAAAAAAAATTAAAAAAAAAATAATAAATAAAGAAATTATTTCAAACACTTTCATGATATAAGCATGTTCGTTGCAGAGATTTTTATGGCAACAACGAATATATAAATAAACAATGTCTCAAACTTTGAGAACCTCTATGTAATATGTTCATTGGTGAGATATAGATGAATATGCTGACTCCAAAAACTTGATTTAAAACTCTTTGTTTATTCAAGATCTCTCATTGCAGAAACTTTTGTAGTAGCAATAAATGGAGGCCACTTTGATATCCATCACCGGGTAATTGGATATGACTGAGAAAAAGCACATATATGTCAACAGTTAATATATATAATTAATATGTTTTCATAGGTATTTTTGCATACATATATGGTTTCTAAAGGTAAATTCTTCTATCCCTCCAGCCTTCAATATAAGGCCCTTGTGATGCCCATGGATTTGGGAAGGAAGGACCACATCAAGAACCATGAGACTAATAAGCTGTCCCTACAGAGCAACTAATCGCAACCAGAGAAAAAAACAGACTTGCTGGGTTCTCAGGATTTGGGCTCTGGACTTACAGTATGGTAAAAAAATAAACGTCTTGTATATAACTAGACTCAAGTCAATGGAAAGAGTCAACCAAACCAGCAGTGTTTCTGAGTTCATCCTCCTGGGGCTCTCCTCCCAGCCTGAGGACCAGAAACCACTCTTTATCCTTTTCCTCACCATGTACCTGGTCACCATAACAGGGAACCTGCTCAT